GTTTCCTATAAAAAAACAGATTTTTATTTACTTATAATTAATGTGTGAGATATTTTAAATGCTGTGAGGTCTTGTGCATATTTGGTTTAAAGCGAAAAATATCATGTTATGTTAAAAGTTTTTATTTTTGGTGTTTTGTATATATATCTTTTTTCGTTAAAAAATTGATATTAAAGTTAATGACTTAACAAGATAAGTATGGAGATGACACAATATTAACATATATTTTGATTTAATTGTATTTGTCTGTCGAGATAAGTATATATTTATTATGTTTGTTTGTCTATGAATCAGTTTACTATTTATATTTGTAGCTCTAAGATATATACATCTAATAAATAAATAAATTATGAATCGATTTACTATTATTTTCTGTAGCTTGAGGAAGGAGAAGAAGAAGATGCAAAAGTGATCGATATTAGGTTTGGTGATCATAAATACTCGAATGCTGTGAGTGATATATATTTAATCACTTTTTCAATGAGCTATATATTTATCATCACTTTTCTCAAATAATCAACTATATATCATGTTTTGATTACATTTGTAAATTTTAATTAGTTATCTGATAATCACTACTCAATAAAAAAACATAAACAAAACGGATTAACTTGACCGATCAACTTGCTATTTTGATTAAATTTATAAATCTTTTAATTAATTATGTAATAATCACTTATCTAAAAAAAATCATAAACAAATCAAGATCCAAATAAAACATATAACTTAATCCCTCAACTTGCTATTTTGATTAAGATTTAAGATAAATAAATTAAAAGCCAACAAATCCTCCCACATTCAAAACATATATAATTATATTAAATCAATTAATAAGATAATATTTATTATTTTTTACTTTTCCCCAAAAGTAAAGAAGAAAGAATAAAATATAGTTTCACACTATTCCTCCATTTTAGTAGACCAAAGAAAAATCTCTTTATCTTTTTTGTCGGCCTGATGTAATGAAGAATAATAGGATATGGACTATGAAATTTAAAAAAGAAAAATAACAACGTAATCAAAAATATAATATTAGAAGCTTTAATTTTGAAATCGATAAAATTATCTTTACATGAATCATAAATTATGAATTTAAATCTTAAAAACAATTACTAAAATAATGCTTGTATTAGAATAAATCATCACATCATATATTTTGAGATACAATCTATCTACGAATCCTGTTAACACGAAATAAATTATACATCGAACTGATAAGCTCAATTTTCAAGTCCAACGAAGTCATTGCTTCCCAAGCACTCGAATGACGAAATCAGTATTATTATTATTTTTATATAGATGACAAAAATACTACTCATCAGATTTATTCTTAATTTCCTAATTTATTTATTTTTATTTTAAAAATATTTAGAGTTTGACATATACATTTTTTGTCTTGTTTCAGCAAATGTCTAGTGCTGTTTCTAATAAATGTGAAAATCAAAGATAAATCAACTTATTACATCTCGTAAACAATAATAATCAACACATTTATATGTATTATGTGAATTTATCATAAATTAATTAATCTATATATATTGACCATCAAAATATCGTAATCTAATTAGTCAAATTTAAAGCCGATTATATAAGTAAGCTCACAAAATGACATCTAACAAAAGTGATATGAAGGAAGTACTTACAATTTATGAATTGTTTATAACACCCTATGTTCGATAAAATATGAGAGAAACGTTTTTAATTATCTTTAAAAAAAAAATTAATTCAAAATCTAGTGATACATTTAAAATTTAAAGTGGGCAATATAATTAATGAGTCACGCAGTTATCAACACTATATATGTTATCTGCAACACCAAACAATTGCCAACGATTAATTATTCTATTAATTAAAATAATTAAGAAGTGAGCATCTGTTAATTATATTTGCATTTTTTTAAATTAAATTATAAGTAGACATTCATGGAAACAAGTTAGAAAATTGTCAACATTTTCGTCTGAAAGTTGTGGACTACAAGTAGAGCATGCATGATAAATGTCAGATTCCAAAACTATATAATAAAGTCAAATTTAAACCGACAAAATTACTCTTTTTTTCTTCTAACTTACTTGGATAATATCGATCAAATTCGTACTAGAATTAGAAATGAAATTATTTAAAATAAGAATCGAGTAAACGTTATAATGAAATAATAAAAAAAGGCAAAATTGAGATGTATGTACACATACCTTAGTAAAAAAGTGTGAAAAGTTGATTAAGTTGATATGAAAAATGTAATAGGAAAATGACTATAATTAATAATAAGGATAAATTAGTAATTAAGTATAAAATTATCAATTGATTTCATAAAGTGGATAAGTATTGTTGGATGAAAAGAGTATTAGAGAGATGATTAGATATAACATAATATACCAACGACTTCTTGATAATATGACTCAAGCAATGGTGGAGCCACGTTGAGGGGGTCATCCGAACCTCCTTCGGCGGAAAATTATATGATTTATATATGGTTAAAATAATTTTTTAGGTATATATAGTAGATGTCGAACCCCCTTCGATTACTTCATGTGTCTATTTTTTAAAATTTTGAACCCCCTTACTGAAAATCCTGACTCCGCCACTGAACTCAAGATAGGAAGATTTGGAGGTTAAGAATCAGCATAAAAGATTGGTAAATACTAATATTATCTAATCTTCCCTATCATCGATATATTATTATTACTTTCTAATTATCTTATTCTTCGACTTCCAATTATTTTATTTCGCTTGATTATCATATTATTTTGTTAGTGGAATTTGCAAAAAAATGTATAGGAGAAATTATGTAGTGTGTTTGTGTTGTTGTATTTCATTATCAAGTGGAGATCCTGTTACTACGCGGCGCTCTGCTTTTAATTCACCTTTTTGGGCCCACTTTTTTCATGGGCCCACAAAACCAGTAAATGTCTTTCACGTGGGCCCACTATTTTTTTGGGCCCCGTGCTAATTCTCCTCGTGTTCCTGGAGAATTCTACACTAGCCCATAAATTAATTAAATGAAAAATAATAATAAAATTTACAAAAAAAAAAAAGAAAGAAGAATAATACTCCCTATAGAGTTTATGACACTCTTAATATATAGTAGTGTAATATTTTCTCACTTTAGAATAAGTTTGCATAATTTTTCTCCTTAAAAAAAAATCTCATATCATTCAGTATTCATATGTAATTTTTTTTTATAGCTATTGAGATTATGTTCGCGAGTCTAACAATTTTTCTTTTGAACTATTGATTATGAGATCAGTTATTAGATTTAATTTAATTTAAAAATATTTTAAATATGATGTGATACGTATACTTTGGATCAAATCCATATGAATTTTACAAAAGATCTAGCTCATCATTAAGAGTATCTCTATAAATTTTAATTTTTAAAAATATTTTTCTTAAGCTACAAGTTCAATCATATTGCTTCATAGTTCATAGAATTAAACAAAGCAAGTGATGAGTTTTTTCATGCATATTACGTGTATTGCCAAATGAAATTAGGTTTACAATATGCATGGTGCATTCATTGATTTATGCTAAATTTGTTGATTAATATGTCAATTAAAAAAAATATAATTTTAATTTTTTTGTTATCGCCTGAATAATAATTATTCAATTAAAATGATAAATCTTTGATTGAGAGATGTTTCTATCGTAATTGTGATGCTCCCCATTACTTTAATTTTATTTATATCAAACGAATATATTTAAATTAAATTATATTAAAGTAAAAAATTATATAGTGGACTTTTATTTATTATAATTGTACGTAGATATTATTAAGTGATATTTTCTTATAATGAATCTTCCAAATGAATAAACAATCGAGAATATGCTATTAAAACAATATCAAACAAAAAAAACTTTATGATTTGTTAGTGGAACTAACTTTAACCAACATTAATATTATTATAGTGTACCTAACACACTTGATTATTTTCTTTAAAAGGGTGTTTCTTCAAAGGCAAAAGAAAAAAAGGTTAATTGAAACAATTTTTTTTTAAAACTACTTAACACTAATTAATACATTAAACCATAATAAAGCAACTAAACAATCCCTTTTGTTTTTCTCAGATTGCTTGTATTAATATATTATGTTCCCCCATATCACATGGCCTTCCCAATAATAATGCTCTTTCTAAGATCTCACTTAAATAATATTCAATGGAAGTAAATAAGTTAATAAAACTAGGAAGACCACAAAAGATTGCGGTGTAGTGGATGAAGTTGCTTCTTGCTTGGTTTCAAGATTGAGCCACTTTCCTTTGAATGGAAATCTATGCAACATGAATTCAGAATAGTCGAACTTCAATATGAAAATCGAACACAAAGTGGTAAACTAAAACAAATGAAAGCTAGGAAGTACCTTTACGAGAATTATTATATGGGCAAAATTATTTTTGTCTACTATTAAAATAATGTGGTGCAACGAAAGATACTCCTCTTGCCTTGTGCGAGACCAATCCAAATTAATTAGATTCTATCGAACACCCGAATAATTTTTTCTTCCTTTTTTTGAACAATTTGACGTACAATTTGGACTTTATAGTCATCATTTTAGAAAATAAGGAAAAAATTATCTTAATATTTTTTTAAAAATAATAAGGAGTAAAGTTAATTCAACACAACTTAATGATACATCTAATAATTTATGCATTGAATGTGTTACTAGATCTCTTACTTTAGAAGCTATACAAATAACAATGAATATATAGTTTTTTACTATGAGTAAACCGCATTCACATTAATCGTATAGTTCACTTTTGATTAAACTGAAAAACTATTTTTTCAGCACTAATCTTTAATTCTTATCCATAGTTTCTTTTCAACTTATTTTTTTGAATAAAAATTGTGTACAATTAATTATTAATTAACCAAATAAAAAAGGTCAAAAAAGAACAAAAGTCCCATTTTTTTATAATTTTTTTTGTGATCTTCAGATTCAGCTTCTACATTTTCTCCAAAAAATAAAAAAATAAAAAAATCTGCTTTATTCATTTCATTCACACAGAGAGAGTCACACACCCGCCCTTTTCACCTCCCTCTCCATTACCTCACCATGTGAACTTTTTTTTTTTTTTTTTTAATATAAATGTGTAGCCAAAGATGAGATCTTTGTATCTTAGTGGCTTCGCTTCTCTTTTCTCTCTGAGATTCTCTTATTTTTTTTTGAAGAAATACAACTAATAATCGAAATGGGGTTTCTTATTTTTCACTGAAAGCACATGATTCTAATAGTTTTTAGTTTTTTTTTATAAGCAAATGCAACAAAAATTGTGATGGGGTTTCTTATTTTTAACTGAAAAAGCACATGATAGTGTGTTGTTGTTTCAGTGAGATTTTGGAGAGTAGCTGCAGATGAAGATGAGGGGTTATTCATTCTTTACTGCTACTCTCATTTTTGCTGTTTCCATTTGTTTCAGCTCAATTCCTGCTGATTCTTTACCAAGAGACTCTTTTAAGTCCATTTTAGGTGAGTCATTGTGATCATTTTGAAGTTTCTTGGCTGTTTGTGTTATGGAAAAAAGGTGAATTCTGATATGGGGTTTATCTATTTGAAGGCATTTTGACACTAGTGATGATAGATATGCTAAAAAGAAAAAAAAAGTGGTTTGCTGTAATGAAATTTTTGATCATTGAAGCTTCTTGTCTGTCTGTGTTATGGAAAAAGGTGAATTCTTTGACATGGGGTTTATCTATTTGAAAGGATTTTGACACTAGTGATGATAGATATGCTAAAAAGAAAAAAAATGGTTTCTTGTAATGAAACTTTTGATCATTGAAGCTTGTCTGTCTGTGTTATGGAAAAAGGTGAATTCTTTGACATGGGGTTTTCCTGTTTGAAGGGATTTTGACAATAGTGATGATGCTATATATGCTAAAAAGAAAAAAAATGGTTTCTTGTAATGAATTTTTTTATTATTGAGGCATATTGGCTGTCTGTATTATGGAAAAAAGGTGAATTCTTTGATATGGGGTTTTTCTATTTGAAGGGATTTTGATACTAGTGATGATGCTATATATGCTAAAAAAGAAAACAAATGGTTTCTTGTGATGAAATTTTTGATCATTGAAGCTTCATGGTTGTCTGTATTATGGGAAAAGGTGAATTCTTTGATATGGGATTTTTCTGTGCTGGTGGTTTTGGTTCCTTTTAGAGCTATATTATGCTAAAAAGATGAAAAATGGGTTCTTGTTATGAAAATTTTGTTGTATTCCATGTTCCTCAATTTTTGGAGTCTGAGATTTGTTTTATATGCTGTTATTGCAATTCAGATGTCATTTTCTTGTTATTTAAGGACAATTTTATTTGGACTACATGATTTGATCTCTCTTGGTTGTTATGAAGTTTTGGTATTTAACAACTATGCTTAATGCTTTCTTAATTTGTCTCAGGGTAATTATGTTTTTACTATGTGATTTCCGTTAAAATTGCTTTACTTGTTATTTTAGCAATAATGATCTCTTGTACATCTGAATTGAATATATAAGGCATTTTGGTGATCTGTAAGGATTTTAATTGAATATATAAGGGTAAATAGCACACCTAAAGTATCCCCTTTTTTCGAGTTTCCTACCTAAACTGTCACTAACTATCTGCTGTTTGTTACTTTTATATGTGTTTTTGGCCATTAACTCAACGTATTATCTTCTTTCTGATGCATTTAGATAATGGTTAAGTTTAAAGTAAGGCTCTTTTAGATGATGTGGTCCTCATTTTTGATACTTCTAACAGGGGAGGGAAATTTGGAATCATGGAAGGATGGTGTATTGCACTCAACAGATATGGCACAAGCACCAAGTGGGCATGCGAGCACGCTTGTGCTGGCGGGAAACAGGACGAGGAGGCCAGACTTTCTTTCTGGTTTCCACAAATACAGAGGTGGATGGGATATTGCCAATAAACACTACTGGGCAGTAAGCACCATACTATTTTTATGTCCATCTTTTGTAATTGATTTATCTAGGAAATATATAGCTATGTATTTGTTTGATGATTTTGCTGTAGTTTAGGATCTCTGATGCCTACATTGCTCACTGCTTGTTTGTGATTTATACAATTCATCAAGTTTTTTGTCTGAGCTGCAATACCCTCTGGACTTGCACCTCAGTTTTCTGTTTGTTTTGAATCATAATTACTTGTAACATATCTTACTTCACTACCCCGTTCGTTCTTTTGGACCAAAATAATGTTGGCCTACTGCAAGCACCTAGCGTGAACGGTGTTGGCTGATTCTCTTGTCTGTTATCTGATATTGACCCTGCCACGACTTTAAGCCCAAGGCTATAACTGTTATATGATCTACTGACCTTCATGTCTTAGTAACTGATTTTTGACCTGGAAAATTCTGAGATAGATACTGCAGAAGATAAGGTATTGATTAGTTCACTTGAAAAGTTTTCTGTTCTGAGTGATGAAAATTGCTGGTGAAAGATGGCCTAGTACTACTATTATAATATTCATGTATTGTCTTCTGTTCTGCTAGCTAATTTTATTCCAAGCAGGAGAAGGGAATATGGTTGGGAAAGAGGAGGGGGAGGGTAAGAAGATGATCATGAAGTTAGATCGGTTACTTAAAAAGCAAAGTGTAGATCTTAAACATTTAAGTTGCAAGTATATTTTTGCATTTAACAAAGGATGAGTTTGCATATGTTTTGGTGCAAAATCTGCATAATTGCATAGTTGTGTCTAAGAACTTGTTCCTCTTCTAGAAATTTTTTGGATATAGTGTTTACTTTTCTATTTATGATGGGTTGAAATAGAGCGGAATAGATATAACAGATTGATATAGCTGACCTTAACTGGTTTGAGATTGAGGTGCTGTTAATTGGTTCATCGATTAAAAGTGATTCTTCTTTAGTGTTAGATGGCATTGGGAGGCTACATGAGTATATATAAAGAATAATGAGGTTATAAACTTCAACTTTAGTTCTAAATCAGCTAATTTATATGCAAATATTGTGGATTGATAAATGATCTTTCACATATTGCCTTGAAACCACATTTTGGTTTAGACATCTCTTTACCCCTATTATAAACCTTGGGATGAGCTTGTTTTAACTGTTTAGTTGGATTTTCATTTAGAAGACAGTGATCTTACGAGGATTGTGACTTTGGATCCACAGTCTGTTGGTTTTACAGGTGTTGCTGGTATCATACTCGCTCTGCTGTGGTTCATTTCTTTTGGATTGGCTCTTGTAGTGCATTATTGCTGCGGATGGAAGATCAATATTAGAGATGGAGAACGACATTTTTCAGAGAGAATTTGCCTGATCGTGCTTATCATCTTGACATGTGCTGCAGCGTAATAATCTAACCCTTGACTTGTTGCTTGCTGTATACATATGTTCTCTCATTTGAATTATCACGAGCCCATCCTTAAGGTTTTGCTTTTCTTGATTAAATGGAAGGAATGCATCCAATTTCTTGATTGGTTAATTCTCTTTTGTACAAAAATAAACTTTTCTGATCTTGCAATGTTATCAACTTTAAATCGTAAACATCTTGCACTATGTTTTGATCATAAACTTAGGATATATCCTCTGCTAGATTATCAATGTGTGGCTCTATGCACTTGCCTTACACAGGACTTGTAACTATTTGGAAGTTTTAGATTAAAATGATTCTTCTTTTTTGCCTTGGATTAGCAAAGGACATAAATCTTGCTCGTTAGAAAAAGTACTGATTCATGTTTCTTATTTAACTGACAGTATCGGTTGCATTCTTCTTTCTGTTGGACAAGATGATTTTCACGGTGAAGCATTGGACACTCTAAAATATGTTGTAAACCAGTCAGATTACACTGAACAGACATTGAGAAATGTAACACAATACCTGTTACTCGCAAAAACTGTAAATGTGGCCCAGATTTTCCTCCCTTCAGACGTAAAAGATGATATTGATTGCCTAAATGGAGACCTAACTTCTGCAGCAGATAACCTCAAGGAGAAAACAAATGAAAACTCAGGAAAGATACGAAGGGTCTTCAATGCTGTGTATGCCTCGAATTTAATTTGCTATTACTCTTCAGTGTTTGTTTTTGCTTCAATGTCAGATATTAATGTGCAAATGTCACTTTGCAGGCGGTCAGCTTTGATCACTGTTGCTGTCGTTATGCTTCTCATATCCATTCTGGGTCTTTGTACGTATTACTACACCGAGCTCTACTTTTAGTCTCAAACTTTCATGGCTTAAACATTAATTTTGAGACTGAAATCACATTTCTTGCAGGCCTCTCTATCCTTGGCCATCAACACACAATTCACATGTAAGCTTCTCTAGTCAGTGCTAAAACAATTAGACTGTCCTTTTTTCTCAATACTCCCGTCATCTCACAATCCAATGTTCTGATGCAGATTTATCATTAGCGGATGGTTGCTGGTGGCATTTACATTCGTTCTCTATGGAGTTTTTGTCATTATTAACAAGTAAGACACAATGTCTAATAGTGAGTATTCAGGTAGAACAGAAGCTTGTATTTTCCACTATGTTCAGACTCTTAAAAAATGTCTGTCCATTGAATCCTTCAAAGTAGTATATATTTTAAGGATCCGACACGGGTGTGACAACATTTTCAAAGGGTCTGAGCAACATGGATTTCCCATGTTTTAGTTTTCTACTCTTTTCCTGGTTCCTGGGGTCACAAAATGCTTTCTTTATTCAAGTCTATTGGTCAATAAATTGAGATGAAAAGGTGCTTGGTGACTTCGTTACATTTGCTAAGACTAGAGGGGCAGTACTACTTGGTGCCTCTGCTGACCCCATGAAATAGTCGAGATGTTTGTAAGCTATCTCAGACAAAACCGTTTTTTTGAAAGAAAAGAGCTGTCTTTATTAGTCAACCTTACATTACTGCAGTATTCGCGATAGTTACAAGATTCGAAGGAGTCGCTGATCGGCATGTTTCTTTTTTTCTTCTTGGTTCCAGTGCAATTTCAGACACTTGTATGGCAATGGGAGAGTGGGTGGACAATCCTCATGCTGAAAGTGCTCTTAGCAACATCCTTCCATGTGTTGACCCGAGAACTACAAACCAGACGCTATTCAAGAGCAAACAAGTCACTGTTGATCTCGTAAATATTGTCAACGGATTTATTGACACATATGCAAATTCCAATCCATCTAATCATCTCAATTCAAATTACTATAACCAGTCAGGACCCGTTATGCCACGTCTCTGCTATCCATATGACTCCCAATTGCAAGATCTGCTATGCCCGGCTGATCAAGTGTCTATGGCAAATTCTTCAACGGTAAGTATTAATGTTTCTCTTCCCCCTCAGTCACGCCCTGCTATGAAACATTTCCTCTTCTACCGTTGTTTTTGTTTATGTTGCTCAGACTCTTCAAAATTGTCTTGCTTGCTGCATGTCTGATCCTCATAAAGTAGTATATTTCTGGAGGATCCGACAACATTTTTGGAGAGTCGGAGTAACATAGGTTAATAGTTGAAAGTTGACTACTGGTTCTATATGCTAAAGATATTCGAGTTGTTTGTAATAAAAGTGAATCCGCGTGTTCTAAATATCTTGTTCAGAATTACTTTGCAATCCAATTTAACTGTTGTTGCAATTGTTTCCAGGTTTGGCAGAATTATACTTGCAGTATATCTGAGGCCGGAATGTGTACTAGCATCGGTAGGCTGACACCCGACATGTACGAACAGCTAGTGGCAACGGTCAACATAAGCTACGCTCTTGAACATTATGCACCGCCACTGCTTAATCTCCAGAACTGCAATTTTGTCCGCGATACATTCAAGAACATCACAGCCAATCACTGCCCTCCATTGGAACACCATCTCCGAGTCGTTAATGCAGGGCTAGCCGTCATCTCAGTTGGAGTCATGCTAAGCCTTGCGTTGTGGATAGTATATGCAAACCGCCCCCAAAGGGAGGAAGTGTTTGCGAAGCTCTCTTCGCGTATAAAAAGCAGCTGCAATGGTAAGAATGTTAGCTGCAGCAATAGCAACATTGATTTGTCATCAAGAGGCACAACTCCAAAAATTGGAGTGTAGATATATTACTATAGAATTTCAGCATAGAAAAAAGAGATTTATTTTGATCTCTTTATAAGCCTTTTTGTTCAATATATGGGGCAAAGCACCATTTTTTTGAGCAAGGGGTTGATTGGTAGCCATTTTATTACCTATGTCTAGTAGTATATGTGTATAGAATAGTGTTTAATTCAAAGTGTTCTTGTTAAATGAAAAAATAACGGCTAATTTCACGTATAGTTGCTGAACTTCATTCATTGTATAAATAGTGGAGTTGAAGTTTTTTTTTTCTTTTTTGGTTATATCAACGTATTGAACTTTATCAACAAGGGTTATGGTGGAGTGATAAGTACTCTTTCATCCTTAACCGAGAGGTCTTGGGTTCTAGGTCCTTTGGTACGGAGTCGTCTTTGTTAGGGAGTGTTTTACTCTCCAATGTGGGACTGTTTTACTCTCTAATGTGGAACTTTTCGACATAAATCTGAATTTAAACGGATTCTAATATGGATACGTCAAGTGGAAAAGAAAAAAGTAATTGAACTTTATTATTATTATTATTATTATTATTTTTATTTATTTTTAAATCGTAAAGTCAGTTTAATAGGTAGGCTTTAACTGCAATGCACAAGTTTAAAAACCAATTAGGCCATTCTGCCCCTTTTTATTGATACACCTTGATTTTTTTCCTTTTCGTTTTCCCACTTGTTCGATATATTTATTGGAATTTGATTAAATTTGAATTTATATTGATGTGTCTAACGTTTGAGAATAAAGCGCTTTCTAATACAAACAAAAACAACTCCATATCTGAAGCTCGAGAGCTATATAATTAAAGATAAAGTGTGTTACTTCAGGATTAATTAACTCATTTCTAATCTACTATGATGTATAATTATTATTATTGGAGATTACAAGTTGCAGCTCTTTTCCACATTACTACTAATACACTCGCAAAAAATTTATATTTTAAAATATTAGTCAAAATTCTTGTAAGTAGTCTTTTTCGGAAAACGAAAAAGATCATTAAATGTCATACATGCAATTTCACACATTACAATAAGATTTTAGAGGAAGAATTCAAAAAGTCGTTCTTGATTCAAGAAAAACTAAAAAAACAAAACATAAACTTAAAAGTAGACATTAAAGCATTAAGTTTTTCTGCTTTATATAAGGGCCATTAGGGTTAGTACAATTTACACAAGTCACAACAACAAATAATATATAGAGCAACAAACAAATAATACATTATTTTTTCCCCTTTATATTGAAGCAATAATAAATAAATAATAATAACTTAATGTTTTGGTGTAGTCTAATTTCATTTGGTATTGTTTGCCATAGCTATTGTAGTCACTATTACTGTTGTGGTTGATGTGGAGCATGTTCACTATCATTATTATAACAACAATAATGATGGTGAATCAAAGGAAGATTAAATTCAAGCTAACTCATTAGTGGTCTCTTAAAGTTTGTACGAAATATTACTTAGATATCTGTATTGGATAATGTTCATTTTAAACAATTTGTGTAGGGTCTGTTGTGTCATTTTGACACTTTAGATGCCACTAATGAATTTTGTAACTCAATTTTGTGATTTTTAATGAAGTTTACTTATTTTAAGTATTGCATATGTGGCTTTTTGGTAATGCGTTTCTGTATTTTATTTTATTTTCTTCTTATTTTGATGTTGTTTGTCCTAGTTTGAATTTTGAATTTATGTTATATACATCAATTACTAGTTAATGTTTATTTAAGTTATTTGCTTGTAATTAATTATTGATGTAAAAGTTTGATGATTATTCAAATTCAAAAACTGAAAATTTCGATTCCAGTGGCCGTCGGTAAGTAGAGAAAAAGACTAAGAAAAACGAAATAGAAACAGTAACAATCATGTTATACTTGAAGTGGATGGAAAAAGAAGGAGCTAAAATAGCCATCCAAAGGAAACAGGGCCTCACATTATTATTCAAATTCAAAAACTGTAAATTTCGATTTAGGTGGCCGCCGGAAAGTAGAGAAAAAAAAGAAGAAAAACGAAATAGAAACAACAACAATCAGACGACGGATGATGGGAAAATGCTTGAGATATACAGACCGAAGAGAATTATAGCTATCATCATAGTGAATAGCAAACACAAAAAGATCACATTGTTTAACGTTTCATGATTGACTCACTTGACATAAGTTTTCCATTTGGACGTGGGTCTTCATTCTTGCGATTAACCCTCTTCTCCGCATTGTTTAGGTTCTTTCTCTTCATGCTCTCAAACTTTTGTTTCTCTTTGTTTTGTTGAATTAAAATGAACAAACATTTGTTTTGCCTCCCTCCCTTTATGTAGGTGTTACACTGAACGAATAAGGCACTGTTTGTTTGGCGTTGGGAAAAAATTAGTTAATTCACTCTACTGCAATTTAACCGCCAAAAAATGATTTTCACCAACTGAATAATCCTCACCAATCAACTTTTCGTTTATTTACTTCTTTTTTTTAAAAGCAAATTTATTACTAGATAGTAAACATAAAAAATATCAATAGTTTATTTACTTTCTTTATTTCTGAGATACAAAATTATTTCTTTCATTTTATTGAAAAAGCTATATTTTTATGGTCTTAAACTAAGGATATATTTATACCAAAATATTTCTAAACTTGTGATCTTAAACATGTCATGTGGAAGTTAAATTTAAAAATTGATAAAAAAGAAAGAAACATTTTCTAATGTTTGGAAATGATCTAAAAAAGACAAATAAAATGAAAGACACAATATTATATTTTTTATTTATTAAAAAGACATAATAATTCTAATATTAATAAAAAGAAAATAGGGCCCTCAAATTTGTGTGTGGTGGGTCTTACGGATGCCTCATTTTTAAAGGCATTGAGTCGCCCTGTCATTAATTTTAGTCATTTCTTTACTATATTTTTCAAGATATTGTATTTATTATATTCAAAGGGTGTTATAGTAAAATTAACCTTCTATTTATAATTTGTTAAGAAGTGTGTAAAGTCAATAGTGGACAAATATAAAAAAAATAACTTCACATACTTTTGGCTTATTAAAATCATAATATATGATGTGAAAAAAATAATCAGACAATCCTTCACCTATAGAAAAACAATAGTATAATTATTTAATCCCTTTCTAAACTTTTTGAAAACTTAAGAAATAAACATTTGAAAGAAAACCTTTGGGCTAAAACCACACTATTATGTTTTGTGTACTTATAATGGTTAGTGACTTATTATGATGTTGTATATGTATTGAATTGTTGTTTCTTGGATTTTCTTTTATAATTTTAGTATTGGGATGCAAAACATAATGATATATGTGTGAGGTTGAGTTAGGTACACAATTTATTTATTTACAAATACTTCACTTCTAAATTCAACTTTTATGTGATTTAGCTTTCTTTTGTTATATTTGTAGTATCTAAAATACTGCACACCATTCTTAGATTAAATAATTTTGATCTATGTTCATAATAATTGTTGATGGTTGAGAATGATTAGGTAATCTTCACTTATAAGTATTAAATTACCTAATGGATAAATTTGATTATGGGCTCAAATAACTAAATAAGATCATTCAATACGGACAATATCCAAAGTATTTGCGATGGATTATGAGAATCTATGTGACGAAGGTCGATTTGAAGTGGAAGACTTGTATTTATTTGAATCTGTTCAACATGCATAATTGTTAAATTTGAAGATCTATTTAGTTTTTTTACCACTTAAATCTGCGTAGAGATTCATTATACATACAAAGTACTTTGTATTTATTTTAATTATGTGATAGTATTTGATAATTGAGAAGGAATTTCAACCAACGAACTAATTTTTCAAATTTTATTCCCTAACTTGACATTTAGTTTTCTTTTTGCAAGGCTCTAAATTGATCTATTTTAACCTTTTTACTCCATATTGTAGGGTGAATTTTGAAAGATAATGAAAATTTTGATTTTTGTTACTATTTATTAAAATATAAAATATTGGACCCGAGTCATGCCCCTCTAGTTATCTACTATAGTCTATAAAACAAGTGTTGCTTTATTACTATCTTGAAAACAAACTTAATTAAGCCTCGCGTTGTGGATAGTATATGCAAACCGCCCCCAAAGGGTTGGAAACTTTTACTGTTCTTGTTAAATTAAAAAATAACGGCTAATTTCACGTATGATTACTGAATTTTATTCATTGTATAAATAGTGGTGTTAAATATTTTTTTTGTTATATTAACGTAATTGAACTTTACCAACAAGGGTTATGATAAAGTGATAAGTACTCTTTCATCCTTAATCAAGAGGTCTCGGATTAGAGTCCCTTTGGTACATAGTCGCCTTTTTAGGGACGCTTTACTCTTCAATGTGAGACTTTTCGGTGTAAATCTGAATTTAGTCGAATTCCAATACGAATACCGGAGATCGAGTGAAAAGAAAAACGCAATTGAACTTTATTGTTATAATCGTAGTCACTAAACTAATAGCAACTGAACTTTATTGTTATAATCGTAGTCACTAAACTAATAGGTAGGCTTTAAATGGCATGCAAGTTTAAAGACGAATTAGGCCATTCTGCCCCTTTTTATTGGTACACCTTGGTTATTTTTCCTTTCCGTTTTTCACTTGGTGTTAGTCACTTGGTGTTTGATATCTCTATTGGAGTTTGATTAAATTTGAATTTATGTTGGAGAGTCTCATATTTGAGAATAAAGCATTTTCTAATACAAACAAAAGACAACTCCAGTTTGAATTCGAGAACTTTATAATTGAAGATAAAGTGTGTTACTTCATGATTAATTAACTCATTTCTTGATCTACTATGATGTATTACTATCGGAGAGAGTATAAGTTGCAACTCTTTTCCATATTACTATTAATACACCCGCAAAAAAAAATCATTTTAAAATATCAGTCAAAATTCATGGATACTAGTCTTTTTTGGGAAACGTGTAACAAACCCAATAGCAAAACCAACACAATTCAAATTCAAACAACCAATAAATCTATTCACGAACTCATAATTGAAATTACAAAGGAATTTAAGAACTAAAAGGGAATTGAAGAACACACTAAGAAGAAAAGGATGAGAAGTAGAACTCAAAGAAAGGGGATGAGAGGG